GAGACAAGGTCTTATATAGCCCAGACTGGCTCCAAACTTGCTCCATAGTCAGTGATGACATTGAACTCCTGATTGTACCTGCTCCTTGTATTGCCCAAGTGCTGGGATATGGGCATGTCTGCTTTTTACTGCTTTTTAATTGACAAAATCAAGTAGTAGTTGAGGTAACATTGATGAATAAATGAGCAAGTGGGAGATTCATATTCTTGAAAAAAAACACATTTGTATTTTGATTTGTGATTTTAATAATACACTAATATGTGATTGATAAAAAGATTTACTATTTATAGTCTCATAATAGCATTATAATTATCATTGTTTAATTCACATAATGATAGTTCTTCATGCTTTCCTTATATAGACATAGTCACAGGTCAATATTACAATATTTCACGATACTCAGAAATTGTTTACATAATGAAGAAAATTTGTATCCTGTTTATTAACGTTAAATCACATTTCAGATGCCAAATTCTAATACACGTGGAAAAACAAAAAGTTATAATAAATAGCTCTTTCTTTCAAAAACAGCTCTAACGTGTGGAATAATTCGCTGAGAACATCAAGTACTTTGCAGGACGCTTGTCTTTGCATTGAGCCTTCTTAGAATGAAGCCACGTATCTGGATTCACTAATTAGAGGGGAATGAAAAACGGACTTCTTCCTGTGTCATCGACGTTAAGACTTCTGTTGGTCACACTGCCACCGAACACAGTGTTGCTTATCCAGATGAACCAACTACACCCAACAACAACATCATTTTGCAAACCTTCAAAACTCAAGTTGAAATCTTATTTATAAGACTCTGGGATCAAGGGCTGGAGACATGACTCAGTGATAAAGTGGTTGGTGCACAAGCATGAAGACCTGAGTTGGGACCCCCAGTGTTCATGTCAAAAGATAGTCATGTTGTAGCACGTCTATAAGCCAGTGCTGGGGACAAAGGGAGATACAGGTGGAGCCCAGAGCTCACTGTCAGCCAGCCTAGGCAAAAAGCTGAGCTCTAGTTTCAGTAAGCGACTCTGTTTAAAAACAATAGGGAAGAGAATGATAGAAGTTGACCTCTGGCCGCTGCATGCATATGCACAGGTATGTGCTCATGAACACATGTGTACACACATGTGTGTACCCCTCACATATGCATGCAAACTCAGGTATTAGTCTAAAGAATACTAAACACCTTTAAACAAGACATTTAAATACTAAAAATAATACTGTGCTTCAAAGTACAAGTCTCAAATTGTCTCTAATCATCTATGCGAGTAGATGTGCATTTTCCTGGAGGTCACATAAGGTAGAGTAAAAGTGTGAATTTTCTGTTTCATACAATAATCTCTTTCATCATAAAGAATTAAAGCACACGAGCGCATCCCATAAGCTATAACAGCAGAGCCAATAAACTCTCCTCAGTGTGCTTAGGATAAAACCTCCACAAGGAAAATGAAACAAGTTAGATGTATGTGTGTGGTGAAGGCAGTATCAGGGAAGTGGAGAAAGGCAGACAGACTGTGGGGCTGGAGAGATTGCTCAGTGGTTAAAAGGCTGCTCTTGCAGAGGACCCAGGTTCGATTCCTAGCACCCACATGGCAGCTAACAATCATCCATAATTCTTGTTCCAGGGGAATCTGATGCCTTTTTCTGACCTCGGCGGGCATTGCATAACATGGTACACTTACTTACATGCAGGCAATATACTCATACACATAAAAAAATAAAATAAAAAGAATAAGAAAAAGAATAGTTTGGCCATAGATGGGTGTGGTGGCACCTGCCTTTAATCCCAGGACTCGGGAGGCAGAAGCAGGAAGATCTCTCTGAGATCTTGGCCAGCCTAGTTTACATAGCAAGTTCCAGGCCAGCTGGAGCTACAAAGACACCCTGTCTTAAAAACAAAACAAAACAAAGACCCCCCCCAAAAAAACAAAACAAAACAAAAAAATAGTTTGGCCAGTATCATAGCCTTCATATTTTATAGCATTAAACATGGACCTTCAAAAAGTATAATATTGACTCCTTTCAGAGTTAATTGACTTTGATGACATCTCATTTGAGTAAAGAAATATAGACAGTGTAAAGGAGTAAAGGGTTCATGCCAAGTCGATTGTACAGGGGAAGTCTTCAGTCAGTTGACCATTAATAAGCAACACTTCAGGTAAGGTTGACTTCAAATTCCTGTGAGGTCATAGTTTCTAGTTTGCATCTTAGTTGGAGAAGTACTGATGCTGACTGAGCTGATGATACAGGAAACCATTTTCAAGGAAAGGCAGATGGGATGAGGAATTAGGTTGTTTTCAGTAGGAATTATGGGAAGACACACAAGAGGAAAACACGAGATAAACACTCTGTGTGCGCGCATAGATAGACTTTGAGCCTGAAAGGTTCACGTTTGTAATAGCGCTCCAGGTCTGTTTCTGATTGTACACACACACCATCAACATTAATGCACCATTTTAACAGTTTCAGGTTTACGCCACATCATTTGTGCAGATATCAGTCTCATAACATACGTTAGGTGACTCTGATAACGGATGTACCTCATTAAATTGACCCAAAACTAAAGTATGGACAAACAAAGATGCACAAAATCTCCCATTCTCAGTCCCACCTAAGTTCCTTCAGTGAAACTGGTGATAACCATCACGTGGAACCCCACCCTCCCACAGCTTCTATTCATCTGAGTTGTGGAAAGTAGAAAATTATGAATCACGTCTCAGAGTTTAATTTGTTTGACTTATGTTTCTTAGAAATGTTCACTCTTACATGGAGGCAATATCGATGAATAAATTTTGGTCAAGGTTAAAACTTTGCAGACATTTAGAGGAGATAGGCAATGGTTTGTTTCATAGACACGACCATTTTAGGTCTTATATTGAGCTCTGGTAGACTATTTGACATTTTATAATGGAATGCTCTGATTTTCATGCTACCAAGTGCATGATCAGATTTGTTTTACTGTCACCTTGAATTCAAAAATACCCCCAAATTATAAAGGGATTATACTAAATGCCTGATGCACTATCTAATACTATAACCCAAAATGTAAGATATTATACCATGTGCCAATGTAACAGTTTGAATATCTCTTGCTAACTGTAAGAAAATGTGATTCAAAGTAAGAGTGCTGTGGAATATTTGGAAGCTTATGGCATACTGGGTTTTCAATACATATTTGTCTTCTGGTATACTTTATATTAAAGTAAGACAAACATTGCACCTACATAAAACAAGTATTAATAGCTTTCTTTACAAAACGATTTTTTCTCATTATCATAATGCTTCTTTAAGTAGAAATATTGGTTAAAGTGTGTTTTATATCATGCAGCCTATCACAATTGACCTTTATAGACAAATGTTGAGAAACACACGTATTATGTGAAGGAGAGTGAAAGTGCATTACAGACACTAAATAACCACCATGCCATTGCTGACTACATTGTCATATTCCATTATTGGGCTTTGAGCTCAAGCTTTTGCCACTTTTTTGCATTCTATCTTCAAAATTCTACCTCTCCTCTCTAGTCTCATTTCTGGAATTATTATCTACTATGAAGCAAAGACCTGCACTTATTCCAAAGGTTAAGTGTGAATTTGATGTCACAAATATATTAAACTCTGCTCAGTAAAATGCATGACACAACTTATCATCTTGAATTCATAATGAGTGTCACAGATATCACAGTTTTTGCAGAGTCTGAGAAATAGAAAAGTTACTAATAAAAATTCAGCAAGCACAATGTAACTGTGATGTGTATTAAAAACAACCTCCTTCTGGGGAAATGTATGACTGAATTATTATTTACCAGATTCAAAGTAAAATAATGATTGACAACTTAAGAAAATATTCAAACAAATAGCAGGTCTAGTTTTTCATCTTGTCTGCCTACTGTGTTGCTGCTTTTCCCTGAAACTACATTTTCCTACGTTCCCATAAGACAAAAAAGAAAATATAGAGTATTTAAAATTGATGCTGCCCATGATTCATGCGTCCTACTCACTATACCCTTACCAAGCATTCATAATTAATGGGCGTATAAGCAAGAAGTGGCTCCTTAATAAAGAAACATTTGTAGTCATTAATGTTTCAACCTTTCTTGCATAGGTATCTGGATGGTGCTGAAGGGATAGCTCCCGGTCACCTGTGGCCGTTCCTGAGTCAGCTTTGCAAAGCGGAGAAGGTACCGAAAGGCTGATTAATGGGGCTAAAGCAGACCACTGAAAACACGAGTGAGGGATATCACGTCCTAATTTCACCCCACGTTCCAAGAAAACAGCTAGCTGATTTTTTTTAATCCTAAGTTTAAGGTGTTAAGCTCCCCCCAACCTCCAAATAGCCCTTTCATTTTCTCAAAGTAAGATCTTGAGCAACACAGTCCTAAAAGGACAGGGAAAAGTGTAGTATCCAAAATCTATCTATCTTTCTATCTACCTGCCTACCTGGCTAGCTAGCTAGCCACTTTTCTATCATTAAAAATAGCAGCAGTATCCTCTGTAAATGTAGCCGTGAAAGTGCAGTTTTTACAAGGAATCTCCGGTGTGGGTGGAGGTTAGACAGAGAGAGAAAGTCTGTTATTCAAAGAAACCCAGTTAAGCAGCACGTTTGTGGCCAGGGAGCTCTTTGCCCTGTAATGATTCCCGCAGAAGGTAAATTGAGACAAAGCAATCACACAAGGCCCCACTAGGGGAGGGCGGGGAGGTTAAGCAGAATTGGGGTGCCACAGGGACCAGCGGTGAACGCGACCTCATTTTGTCCAAGAAAGCACTATCCCACAAGTCTACCTCTGATGTGGCAGAGGAGCACAAAGAGCTGGAAGTGCAGGAGCAAACTTCCTTCATCCCTCCACCCGCATCCCTGCAGACCACCCTGCACCCGCGCCTGCGAGGACAAAGCGTGCGCCCGGCTGCGTGGCTGGCGATTCCCAGCGCGGCCACCGCACCTCGCGCGCGTCTCTCCCCACGGCCGTCAGGATCGGTGTCGCCGAGGGCTGGTGGAGGTTCCCTACCTTGAGCAGTACAAAGAGTCCGAGCAGGGGCAGCAGGCAGCGGCCCCCGCGTATCCTCTTGGCCAGGTGCCCCATCGAGGCGCAGCCCCGGACCAGGGGACGGCGGCGCCAGCGGGTCCCTGCGGAGGCTCACAATGGCCAGCCGGAGTCGCAGCCTCAGACCCCCGGCGCCCGGGCGGCTCCAAGCGGCCACATGCCGCCTGGCGGGTCCCCCTGCGCCTGCTGATTCCTCGCTCCTTCTGTGCCCTAGTCCTCCAAGAACGTGTCAGGAGCCGCGGTTCTTTAATGTCTTAAGATGGAAAGGGTGGGGATGGCAGTGGGCGAGGCTCTGCCGCCGTCGCCAGCACCTCTGCCACTCCAGGCAGGACTCGGCGCGGGGAGGAGGCGTCCGGGGCTCGGCAGCCAGTCCGCCGTGGTCCTCCAGCAACAGGGAGGTTCTCACTCTGAGAAGCGAAGTCCTAAAGAGCAGCGATCTCCAGACCCTCCCACCAGGGCCCGCCCGCCTCCTACGGCTGGGCAGCCGCACGCCAGGCTCCGCCTCAACCTCCCGTGTCTCTGGGACGCAGGAGTTCTGTGGGGTTTCCCCACCGATTCCTCTTGGGTGTTCCCAGTTCCCTCCCAACCTTCCTTCCTGCCTTTGCTCCTAATTGCACTTGTTGACTAGTGACACTTGGATGTTTATAATCTTAGAGTAGGATGGAGGGAGGGGGGAGAAGGAAGATCCCAACTCAAGCATCCCCCAACCCCAGTTTATTTTCTCCATCCCACTCACCTAGGAAGATAGAGCACAATAATACGCATTTTCCATTTGAAATCAGGAATTATCAATTTCAAAGATTCCTTTGTCAGAATAGTGGGTAATATATTCTAAACATTCAGAGTTACCCATGAATAACTAACCCAAGACTTTGAAACTACCACGTGGGTGTGCCCTCTGTCTACTTCTCTGACCCTTATGTTATGTGTATCTTTTGAGAGATGGCTCTATCAAAATAAACAAAGGGATACCCTGCTCAGAAATGTCATTTCTTTTTATGTGAATGCCCTGACTGTGTTCCAGAAGAAATTGGTATTTAACATTCAAAGTGTGGCACCAGGTGACAGGAAAGGCCATGTGGGTAGAGAACGCACAACTTCAGGCACTAGTTGGTCTCAGGTACACGGCTGAGGAGAGGTGGACTGAAGGGACCAGAGCTGTGTTAACTCATCTTTTTCTACAGGAAGCTAATCTCTGAGGAAGGTTTATGTTGAATATATTTGTCTGAGTAGACATGTGTACTGATGTTCCTGTGGATAAAACAGCGTGATGCACTGAACTTGTGTAAGAATGTTGTCTGATGGGACAGAAGTTTTTTTTGGGGGGTATTCTCCCTTCTCTTCCTCTCTTGCTACAGTCAGTCCAATGCCCTTATGCCTGCCCTTTGTTAGCCTGACTCTCTTGGCCTCTCTCTTGGGAAAAATATTAGTTGTTTTCCCTTTCTTCTGGGTAAGATTTGTGGGGTTGCCCAAAGAAATGTATCCTTAGGACTGCATGCATGGGGCCTTTAGTTTGATACATTTTCTTTTTTACTGTGAAGATTTTAAAAGTAGCACTTGCATTTCCACCCACCCAAAGCTTCAAAATGATCTAATCTCTAGACAGAGATGTTTAGGTCAGGGATGAAATGGCACTCTGAAAACTGGAACAACTACTCTTTTGAATAGAGTTTTATTTTAAAGTGTCTGTATGTCAATTTTGCACATATATGATGTTAACGTTGTATAAGCATGTTTGTTTGCCTGATGTATCTTAGACACTAGAAACCAATTTTGCTCATATAATTAGTCTTGTAAATGATAGTCAATTATATCATAATTTGTTTAGCTTTTTTAAACTTCTCATAGAGATGTATACTATACATGGACCACTTTGAGGGAGCAGCAACATCAAGCAGTTAGTGCAGCATTACCCAGGAATGCATTAGTAATTAGCATTATTAATATTCCATTAGTAGCACTGTGGTTAGATGGCCTGGAGACTGATGGTATAATTTGGTAATCACTGAAGATTTCCTTCCAGAGAGAAGTATTATACAGTTATTTCAGGACAAAAATAGTTTCACTTGTTTTTATTGCATTTAAACCGATGATAGGCTTTCAAATTTTTATAGAGACTCCCATGAAGAATGGGTATGTGGTTCCATCAGCAGTATGCTTCCTTGGATCATTGACTTGTTTTCCAATGAGCTATTTACAAAGTACACTAAACCTTACCATGCTATTTTGAAGACTTCAATTCAACATGAATGACCACCAGTAATATTAGTGTAAATGGTTATTTGGGTTTCACCAATTGCTATAAAATAGCTGTTTTGATTTCATTACCACAACTATACTGCTTGGTTAAAAAAAAAAAAAGGCCCAGGTCACTGCTGAAGAAAGATAAACATGACAAAGTGAATGCCCCCCCATCCCCTTGTGCTGAATTTAAAATGAAATGCTCATAAGATAAAATTAAGTGATTTACTTTGAAAATAACAGTAATAACAATAATAAATAGTAGCTAATGATCAATAAAGTGGAAGATCTTGGTTAAATCTGCTAAATCTGGTTATTTATTTATTGGTTCATTTAATCAGGAGAAACAGTCTTTTTCTAAATACGTAAAACTCTCTCCATGCCTCTGTGGTTCACATCTATCTCCCACATTCAGAGAGTTATAATAGCAGCCACAGAGAGTAACTGGAATTCCTGAGAGAGATTTAATGAGGAGTCAAATGGAACTCATGTGGTGCCCTTGCCAATGAAGCTCAGTTCTGTCCTCCAGGGACTACTCTAATGTAGTTCCGTGTGTTTAGTCCTGGCTTCCAGTACTGAAATAGCCTACAAGGCTGTCAGCAGTTTCAGTATTAGATAGTTGTATTTATGGGGGCTACTGAATGACAAATAATTTGCTTTATAGGGATTTCAGGGAAGGAGCTTAATTCATGGATCTCCAAGCTGTATTTCACTTGAAAAACATAGGCGTTCAATTTGCCACCCACATCCCATAGATCACAATTCTTACTGGGTGTGAAGTGGAAATTACATGGAATATGTTCTCAAGATAAGGACACTGGGCAGTATTTTGATTTTCAGTGTATTTGGGCGTTTGTTTGGCTCTTTTCTCTGATGAGCGCTGATTTCTCACCTAGGAGATGTGTTGGCAATTCACAAATTTCACGTCTTTCAAAATGCACATGATTGACAGCTCTCAGGTGAATAGCATGCTGCAACTGCCAAGATTTCTTATTCTCACAACCCTGGGTAAAGCGATGGAATGCACTCAGAAGGGCTTTTTTTCTTTCATGTGGAAACTTTTTCTATTACTTCTTTTTTTACCCCCTAAATAATTCCTAAAACAGCTATCCTTTCTTCTTTTGCTTTCTTTAACTTTTCTCCTAATACAGTTTTAAAAAGAACTAAATGGACATAATGTATTGCAAGATATAGTCCTTATAAATCAAAAGTATCTACTCAAGACTAATAAAACATGCATAGAAAATACAAGTACATATTTATCACAGGACACAGGTTGCAAAATAAGCAGTCCTAAATTAAGAAGGCAGATCATCATATCATTTTCAGACATTGCTCTTTCTTTTGGTCTGATGCTAGGATTACCATTTGTTGCTAATATTTTAATTACCTTAAAACTTTAATAAAAACATTCAGCAACTCTAAGTCCTATGATTATAGCTTATATTTTGTTTGTATATGACTTCCTCTAAAATATTTGAACAATGCATTTCTAAAATTCTTTTCTGGGCATTCTAGATGTTATCAATTACTTATTTAGCTTTTCTTCAAAACAAGAGTTCTTGGCTAATTGCACTTTGAAGCATTAATATCTTAAATGAGAGGATTCACTTTAACTTAAATATGATTTATAGCTAGAGGAAGGCACAGCGCATGCTAAGTGGAAATACTGCCTACTCCCCCTTCCCTCCCTTCATTCTTTCTTCCCTTCAAATTAAAAAATGTAGCAGACATTCCCAGTCTTCTGTGTGTCTTACATGGAATGATATCTGCATATGTAGCACTTTTAAAAGGTCTTAAATATGTAATTGTGGAAAATTTGGTGATGGTGGTTGCAGAACCATATAAAAATTATGAAACCATTAATCACAGTTTTGGGAAATGCACTGCCTTAACCAGTTAGGATTCTACCAAGGGGCATAATAACATTCCATTGACATTTATGCTTCAAATCAATCACAACAAATCAATTTTCATGCTGAAATTACAAAGCTGGTAATGTTCCCAGATCTAATTGTGAGAACAGGGATGAAGGTGACCATAGTCTAGAGGGAGCGAGGGGCATACTCCTTCCTGACAGGCTACCGTTTTCATTTACCTTAGAAGAATCTAGAAGAAAACTTTTGAGAAAGGCATTGTGCTAACATGACAAATTAGACTAAAAAAGTCACAAATTATGTTATTCTTTATGTGCCATTTTGGAAACAGCAGAACTGCAGAGGAAAAAAAAATCAGTGGTTTCCAAGACTTGGAAATGGGGGAAAGAATGGACTAGAAAGGAACAACAGTGAACTGTTGAATGGATGGAATTGTTCCAAATCTGGATTGTGTTGGTGGTCACCATTTAGGCAGTTACTAAAGCTCATTAGACTTTACTTTGATGCATCTAAACTTATCTTCAAACTCATTAAACTGTATATACACACACATATATATATAGTGCATTATGTGTGTATGATTATATATATATGTATTCATGAATGTGGTTGCAGTTGTATGTTGAGGTCAGAGGTCAGGTTCAGGTATTTCCCAGGACCTTCTGCCTTGTTTGTTGTGACTAGATCTCTCACTGGGACCTGGAACTCACTTATCATGCTAGATTGAGTGTCCAATGAGTCTCAGAGATTGGTCTCTCTGCTTCTAAATCAACTGTGCTCCACCATATTTGGCTTTTAATTTGAAAGCTGAGGATTGAACTTAGGTCCTCATGTTTATGTGGCAAGCATTTTACTGACTGAGTTATTTCCCCCAGGCTCCTGTGAAATGCATTTTTATGTCAGTGATGTCTTAATACAGAAAAAGTTTTAAATACTTAATGTTTATATACATATCAGCATTTTAAAGATTATTTCAAAATAATTAGCAAACTATTTCAGAACAAGTTCAGTTTACTGATCATGTGATTGGCTCTTACAAACTATCTTTTGATGCAACCTCAGAATTGAGCACACGGAATGACTTAACTCTTCCCCTTTCTCCTGAGTGCTCGATGTATTATCAAGTCAGTCAGTAAGCATATATTTTCAAGTCCTATCATTGGTCATAGCTAAAATAATTAAGATATGGTAGTTGACCTCTGGGAACTTACAGTCTGGTAGGAAAGATGTCACACTAAGAATGACAAAATAGAGTAAGTAGTTGCAAAG